TATTCATAAATGTTAGAGTTATGTTTTTTAAAAATCTTAACTCCTGGGGGGGCACAGGAGGAAGGGAGGGAATGGGAGAGGGACCTGGAACTGACTTGTGAAGCAACCTTGTTTCTTATCTAAATTTAAACTGGAAAATAAAATAAAAAAAAAAACAAAAAAAAATCTTAACTCCTTTAGGACATTTCAAGTTGGGTTTTTGTTGGTGTTTGTTTGTTTGTTTTTTTAATCTTCAGAGTCACCAAAATTCTTATAAAATACTGACTATATTTGAGACTGTAATTTTTGCCTGTTTTTAATACTGAGCTCCTCTTTCTGTTTAGCTTAACTTGTAAAAGAAAAGCTGCATCGTTAATGTTGTTAAGTCCACTTTATTCTAGTACAAAAGTAGCACTGTGTTGTAATTCAGATGCAGCAGTTCAAGTTTTAATCTATAATAATTTTTTGTACAAAATTTTCCTTACTATCAATAGACACTGATTTCACATAAGTAATATTTATTTTTCAGAACAATTTTGTATTAAACACTTGAGTGCTCTGATTATTCTTTTATTAATAAAGCAAATATCAGGCCCATGGAGGAGGAAAACATACTACTTCCTAACTCATGTATTTTGGGGAGAGGTAGAGTTCTGAATATTTTCCTTTACCACAAGATTTTCCTAGTATTGACAAAATAAACACATGCATTTCTGGCATTTTAATTAAAGTGTGAGAACACATATGCTGCCAATTCCAGTCCGAAACAATCTCAGCCTTATGAACAGGAGGAACTTAGAATCTCTGTGACGACTTTACCCTTCAGGGTAAAGATGATGATGGACTTTTTATTCATTGATTTACTTTTCCAAATTTTTAAGTGAGTTAGGATAAAGAAAACTATTATTAGAAGAAACGACTATTCATAAACTACCATTGCAGTGGTTTGTGATGCTCTAAAGTTGCACTTTTTACTATTTGTACAAGTGTTCCTGTTTCAGCTGAAGTAACTGTTTTCAAAACACTGAAGGTACCAATGTTGGGATTATATGAGGCAAAGTGATAGTCAGAGTAGATATTTAGCATCTTTAAAATGTTTATTTGTAAAGATGTTTATTTGATGTGTCTGAATGTTTTGCCTGTATATACATTTGTGTACCATGTGTGTACCTTGCCCTGGTACTGGAATTGCGACAGTTGTGTATTACCCAATGTGCATGCTGGGGACCAAACTTTGGGCCTTTACAAGACCAGTATGTGCTCTTAACCACTAAGCTATCTCTAGTCCCAGTATTTGGCACCTTATGTTAAAAATAAAAGATCTTGGGTGCAGAGAGATGGCTCAGGTTAAGAGCACTGACTGCTCTTCCAGAGGTATTGAGTTCATTTCTGAGCAACCACATGGTGCCTCAAGAACTATCTATCTGTAATGAGATCTGGTGCCCTCTTTTGGTGCTCAGGCAAAACACTGTATACATAATAAATAAAATCTAACAACAACAAAAAAATCACTTAAAAATTAAAAGATCTTAGCTGGGTGATGGTGTCTCATGACTTTAATCCCATCACTCGGGAGGCAAAGGCAGGTGGATCTCTGTGAGTTAGAGGCCAGCTTGGTCTATGAGCAAATTCCAGGATAGCCAGGACTGTCATGCATAGAAACCCTGCCTTGAAAAACAAACAAACAACAGACATTTAAAGATCTTAAGGCCTCAGGACCAGAAATCCACATGGAGAGTCATTACAATCTTAGAACTCATTCCCCCTCAGATAGGCCTATCTCAAAACATCAGGAACTCTGAGTGGTGTAGCTTGGAGGAAGTGACAGAGCATGGCTGACAGCTGATAAAAGTCTTACAGTACTGACTATGTAGAAATAGACTATTCCTCAGACGTTGGATCACCTAGAGACGGAAGCCAAATGGCTGCGCTAGAATCTCTAAGTATGAAAAGGCAGCCATTTGTTTCCAACACTCTTGGGTGGTGGTGGTGGGGGTTGCTATTCACTTTGACAACAGCATGATAAACAACTTTAAAAGAAATTTTGGGATACTGTATCTTTTTCAAAACATTTCCCCCCCATGAATTAGCTGACAGTGTAACAGTAAGTAAACATGGAAGACTCTGTAGGTATATGTCTTAGTTAGGGTTTCTGTTGCGGGGAAGAAACACCATTACCATAGCAACTCCTATAAAGAACACATTTAATTGGGATGGCCGGCTTACAGTTCAGAGGTTCAGTCCATCGTCATCATGGTGGGGAACATGTTGGCTGCAGGCAGATGTGGTGCTGGAGCAGAGAGTCCATCATCTTACAGGCAACAGGAAGTCAAATGAGACACTGGGCAGTATCCTGAGCATAGGAAACCTCAAAGCCCACCCCACTAGTGACACACTTCTTTAACAAGGCCACACCCACTCTAACAAAGCCACACCTCCCAATAATGCCACTCCCTCTGGGAGTCATTTTCTTTCAGACCACAGTGGTTTTTTTTATTACCATTTTCATGTTGCAGAAATTCGTAGATAAAATATATAAATAAATGACTTTTTAAAGATAGATTCTCCTATATGTAGCCTAGGCTGGCCTCAAACTTGAACTGATCTTCATGTCTTACAGTGTCCAGAGTGCCAGCACTGCAGGCATGTGCCACAGACCTGGAAAAGCACTGCTAGGTCTTTAGAAGTTTACTTTATGTGTGTATGTGAGTGTCTGCACATGTGTGTGTACCACATGCATGCCTGGTGCTGAGGAGCTCACAAGAGGACATTGGATCTTCTAGAATCAAACTTATAAAGGGCTGTAGTGAGGCGCTACTCCCCTTTCCCTCACCAAAGACACTTTTACGGTAAAAGTAAAAATAGAAAACGGGAGAAAATGTGTTCAAGCCATGCTGATGAGAGAAGACTGAAACCTAGGTTCTATACAAACTGGAGCTCAGCAATAAAAAAGCAGCTTTATTTAAAAAGGGGTTGTGTACTTGAACAGCCATTTCTCCAAGGAAGATATACAAGTGAGGAAATGTGTCATTAATTATTGGAGAATGGAGATTTGAATTATAGTGACACCAACTCATAATTGTTAGGATGATTACCCGGGGAGTGGTGGCTCACACCTTTAATCTCAGCACTCAGGAGGCAGAGGCAGGCAGATTTCTATGATTTCAAGGCCAGTCTGGTCTTCAAAGCAAGTAGAAAACAGCGGGAGCTACAAAAGAAAACCCCAGAAAATTAAAAAAAATTGGTGAGAGTATTAAAAAATGGAATCACTGTTCACTACAAGTACCAGTGTTGTGGAAAACAGTGTGGCAATTCTCCCAAAACTTACAAATAGAAAAACCATATACTACAGTGCTGCCTCTTTTGGGTATGTGTCCAAAAGATCTGTACAACATCTTGAAGAGATGTGTAACCCAAATGGCCACTGAGGAAAGAGCTGGTAAATGAAATGTAATAGTCCATCTAGTGGAATACTTGCTTGTAACTAAAGGAAATTCAAGGGAAGTGTGTAAGTGCATGATTGTAACCCCAGGACTTGGGAGGCAGAGGTGGGGGGGGTGCTTGTTCCAAATTTGAAAGGAGACTGTTGAGAAAATCAGATATTACAACATACAAGTGAGACACAGATGGATCTTACAGACATGCTAAGTAAGATAAGCCAGCTACAAAGATCTGTATAGTCTATGATTTCAGTTAAATGAGAGACTAGTCACAGCAGAGATGAAGGTGGAATTGTAGTTTCCAGTGGCTGAGGTAATGGAAAGTTTCTGTTGAATTTACAGAACAAAAAGAGTTTTAGTGATGGATAGTGTGATGACTGTATAATATTATATAGTGTCTCGTACCACTGTGTGTTTTATATGGTTAAGATTTAAGTCAAAATACAGTTAAATGTCATTCATAGACATGCAAATTGTGCTCAGTAGAATGCAGTTGGATCCTGGCCCTGTTAATATACCTACTTCATATCCATTCACAAATTCATTTCAGAATTATTGTGTGTGGTTCTTAGACTCTCTCTCTCTAAACCAGTTCCATTAACAGTTAATTCATGTCTGACATATATTCACATCTTTGAAAAGTCATGATTCCTTTTTTTTTTTAAGATAAGGTTATACTATGTAGCCCTGGCTGTCCTGGAAATGAGTGCACATACTGATCCTGTAATGGACCTGGGTTCAGTTCCCAGCAGCCATATCAGGTGGCTTAATTACAGCCACCTGTAACTCCACAGGCTCTGACTCCCTCTTGTGGCTTCCAGAGGCACCTGCATATATATGGTGCACATATATAACCCAAGCCCTTATATTGACTGGTTGGAAAATTGACTGACGGAATCTCACACATTCTGTGCTGGATTCACACTTTGTACGCAGCTGAGGGTGATTTTGAACTTGGTATCCCTACTTCCATCTGTTGAGTGCTGGGATTACAGGTGTGTACTGCTGTGTGGAGTGTATGTATGTGGTGCTGGGGCTGAACCTAGGCTTTTGTTCCTGGCAGAGAAGCACTCCCCAGCCTCACTGATCCTGTTCAGTAGTATTTCTCCGAATGGGGCTCAAGAGGTGGCTCAGTGGCCAGAAGCCTTTGTGGTTAAGAGAGCTTGCTGCTCCTTCAGAGGACCGGAGTTTAGTTACCATACTAGGCAGCTCACCACCCCCTATGACGCCTGCTCCAAGGGGCCCAGCGCCCTCTGCTGGCCTCCATAGGTATCTGCATTTCCTACATTCCAGTTTGAAGGAACTGTAGCAAACCAGTTTCTTAGAATAGGCTTTTGTTCTGTGTGTATGTGTGCTTTTTTTTTTTTTTTGTGCATCCTGCTTAGTCTGAATTGCATCTGTCCTTCAAGACCTGATTTACAAATTTCTTTCCCCAGAGGACTAGAGAGACGGCTCAGTGGTTAAGAAATTTCTTTCCCCAGAAGCTTTCTACTGTCTACTTTCACACTTTTTACAGCAATTGCACATGATCAGTGACTTTGTTGGGTGTTTTTCTGAGTCTCTGTCCTCCTCCCTCTGCAGAATCTGTTGTCATAGGAATTACTGCCTTCATTGCATTGCCTTGCAGAGAGTGGGTGTCCAGAGAAGTGTTTGCCGGACGCTCCACCATTTACAGGTGATTTTCCTCTAAGTGACCTTAGCTTTCCTGAAGCAGCTGTGTCTGCAGTAAAGCAGTGGCAAAGCTGCTTCAGAAAGTGAAGGTGGTTTAAATGTGTGATTTGTCTCTTCCAGTGAAAACAATTAAGAAGAATTTGATTTAACTTAAGTAATGACTTTGATAAGTTTCTAAATTGCCAAAACAGACAAACAGTAACAAATACTTGTAAAATCAGACAATCAGTAACAGCAGTAACAAATATTTGTGAAAACAGACAAACAGTAACAGCAGTGACAAATACTTCTAAAAACATTGAGCTTCAGGAAGAGGACAGAGGAGCCAGGTGTGCTGACACAACTTCTAATCCTAGCAGAAAACAAGTGCTCCCCCCCCGCATATCTCTGTAAATTCTAGGACAGCCAAAACTACATAAGTGAAACCCTGTCTTCAAAGAAGAGGACAAAGTAAATGTTTTCCAAAAATGTTAAATGGGTCTTAATTATTTTTTAAGATTTATTTATTTATTTTATGTATATGAGTGCACCAGATCTCATTACAGATGATTGTGAGCCACCATGTGCTTGCTGGGAATTAAACTCAGAACGTCTGAGCAACCAGTGCTATTAACCACTGAGCCATCTCTCCAGCCCCGGTCTTAATTATTTTTAAATACTTACAGGTTGGCATACTAATTCTGTAATATGTTTAACTTTAAATGGACTTTTCCATCTTTTTTTTTTGTCAAATCTGGAACCCTGTTATTTCTCTTCAGTTAATGAACTAGCTGTGGACTCATTCAGAGTGGAGTAGACAGAATCCTGAGCAGAGAACAGAAGGGAGGAGGGTTTCCTGAATACTTAAAAGCCTTTAGGAAACAGGCAGACAATGGGAGCACAGTGTCAAAGAAGATAAGTGATTTGTATAGGATTAATTTAGCTGTGGGCAGTTTTAGACGCCAGAGACAAAGCCTGATGGATCTGTTTGAGTCACTGGAGAATAGAAGAGGATGTATAGAATGGAGCTTCTTAAACTTTTTCATTCATGACCCTTTTGTATGGGAAAGGTTTTATATATATATAACCATGGGTATTTGTTTATAAAACAAGTATACAAGAGAAACAGTTACTGGTAATAAATCGTTAAATTTTTATTTAAAAAAATTTGGTATACATGTAATTTTACCCAAAGAAACTCTGTATACTTAGTTCTACATAAAGAAGTAAATATTGGGTGAATATGTGATACTGAAGGACACAGGGCATCAAACATCTTCATAGTTGATTGATATTTTGGTTTTGCAGTAATCAGTGCTGGGAATGTTACTTGGCATAAATACATAGTGTGAAAATGGCAGAAATACATTTAGAACCATGTCAGAAGTTGTTAGAGACTCTGTCCGAAGCCAAAATTCACTGACCAGCTTTTATGGAACTCAGATGAGCAGCTCGGTGTTTTTTAAAATCAAGCCTTCCACTACAGTGCAAGTCAAAGAGACTAGTTGGATGCTTTTGTAGAGGAGTGAACTTAGAAAAATACTTTGTTTTCTGTGATTAAGCCTTTATGTTTGTACAAGAACAGAAAACTGTACATACAATATAAGTGCTGCAATTCACAGCATTTAGCATTCTCCTGTGTGAGGCAAGGTGTTCATAGCAGTATTCATTAATGTTGGGGATGGAACATGAATAGTGAAGTCATGCATTGCAGTACAGTAGAGACCCTTCATATGTATTACCTATTTTGATATTAAATTTATTTTTTATTATTGAACATTAAAAAAACCTTTGGGACTGGAGAGATGGCTCAGAAGGTAAGAGCAATTGCTATTCATGTAGAAGACCTGGGCAGCTCACAACTATCTGTAATTTCAGTTACATGGGATCTAGCACCTTCTTCTGTCCTGAGTGTACCAGGAATGTATGTTACACAGACATATATGCAGGCAAAACTGATACATATAAAATAAAAATAAATATTAAAACAAAAAAATCACCAAGAATGCAGGATCAGTGCACTGCAGGCTTACACAGACAGGGCTTTAGGACCGGAAAGGAGTCGCATTTATAGCAGAGGACATGTGTTTAGAGCATCAGTGTTGTAGCTGCAGTAGAGAAACCAGAGTCGTCATCACTTAGGTTCATGCATTTGTTACTTTATCTTTTTAAAAATCTAGCTCAGGTATTAAGTAATTTCAAATGAATGTCTTAGATATTTGACTTTGTTTGTATAGGTCAAGTTAACTAATGGTGCTGCTAGCAGCCTCAGAATGAAAACTTTTAAAAGAAATAGTCTCAGGGCTGGATGTGTTCTTCAGTGGCTAAAAATATACCCTTAGCATGTATGAGGTCTTGGGTTCATCTGCCAGAAAGAAGTTAATTTTTTTGTTTGTTTGTTTTGTTACTTCTAGGTTGTTAGCAAACGAAGACATTGCATTTTGAAATATGGTTAATCTCCTGATGCAGCATCAGAGGCTAACAATATTAATGGCCAGATCTAGGTAAGTTGAAATTTACCTTAAAAGAAAAGAGCAATCAACTTAATTTTGTTCTATTGAATGCTGGTTACCACATTGTGTCTTGATTTGCTGACTCTTACATCCCCAGAAAATAAGAAAGCAAACACAGTTTCCTAATGTAGAATACTCAGCCAAGTTATGGAAGTTAATCTCAGACAAAAGCTACCTGCTACTGTTGAGTGTACTCAGATGTCAGTGTTGTCCACTTACATGTGTGCTGAGTTTAGAGAAATGCACTTATGAGAGCACGTGGTTCTTTATTCCGCGGTTACAGGTGATTGTGAACCACCATCTGAGGACTGGGAACCAAACTTACCAGCAAGAGTAGGAAGTCCTTTTAACTCCTGAGCCGCCTCCAGCCCCAGCCTTCCTTTTCTCTTCTAGCTTTCATGCTCTGTGCACTGTATTTCTAAGCTGTGCCCTCAGAACTGTGTTTACATGTTTAGTTCTTTTGTATGTCTTCCATTGGCTGTTGTCTGCAACCTCAGGCTTTGCAGCTGAAGCTGAGTTCATTGCCACCCCCAGCTGAAGCATTTCGGGCTGTGGGACGATGTCCTGTCATCTGCATGGTGGACACTTGCTTTCTGTGGGGCGGTGTCCTGTCATCTGCATGGTGGACACTTGCTTTCTGTGGGGCGGTGTCCTGTCATCTGCATGGTGGACACTTGCTTTCTGTGGGGCGGTGTCCTGTCATCTGCATGGTGGACACTTGCTTTCTGTGGGGCGGTGTCCTGTCATCTGCATGGTGGACACTTGCTTTCTGTGGGGCGGTGTCCTGTCATCTGCATGGTGGACACTTGCTTTCTGCTCCTTCACACTAAGCCAGCCTCTCGGCTCTGTCAACCTTGTTTTTTAAATTCGTCACTTTCTTCTTCGTACCTATTGCTGCTGCTTACCTGTATATAGTCTCCTCCTTCTAAGTACACATCTGGCTGTCTCCCTTTGCTAGTTAAATGAATGCATTTAAAGAGCTCTGGGAAAGAATGCCATATGATCTTAAGATTTTCAAAATGTTTCTATCAATTACACTCTTTGTAAACTTAAAAAATATTTTTCTCATTTAATCATTTAACACTTTTCAGTAAAAAACTTGAAACATTTGTAGACCATGTGCTGTATTCAACAGTGTGCTAGTGCCCTAGACAATGAAGAAGACAGATGGATATCTGTCTTCAGAGATCACAGCAAAGTGAGTCAGTTGACTAGCACACAGAACACCGTAAGAGACCATGCTGGTTTACTGTGGAACACTGCAGTTAGCATTTTGTTAGGTTTATATACTAGTACAATTTTTCATCTTAATTTTAATTACCGGACATTCTTTACCTCAGAGTAGTATAGTTCATTTAGTTTACAAGTGGCCTAAAGCACCTCCTTAGTGTTGCACACTAGGTGTACAGGGGTGAGTAAGGCCTGTTAGGTGCTGTGCTACAGAACAGCCTAGGGTGCTTAGATGGGGGTGTGAGGATTCTAATTAACCTAAGAGGTTGGGGCCAGGAAACGTTTGGAAGCCTCAGAAAGCTGTTGTGGAAGGACATGAGACAATTGGTTGATGTGGGGGACGGTAGCCGGTTTATTCTAACTAGAGGTAGGGTAGTTTGAGCAGGGGAGAAGGGGGCTTGGTTTTTAACCCTGAAAATGGTTAAGAAAAACAATAACAACAAGCCCACTGAATTTAAACGGTTTCAATCAGATCTGTGTCTGTAATGTTGCATGATTCCTGGGTGTCTTTGTCTAGCCCGTGTAGCATACAGCTGACGTATTCTGCTTGTCTGCTGTGTTTACAATTAGTGCTTTGACATTCTCCTTTGTTTACTTGAATGCTCTTGAACACTTATCGCCACCTCTGTAACCTTTTATGTTGCTTTCTGTGGCAAAAGATTAAATAGACAAGTGTATCAGGTCAGCCAGGGTTGTGTGTTTTATTCTTCTGGTTGAATTTTTTTTTTAAGATTTATTTATTATGTACACAGTGTTCTTTCTGCATGTCTGCCTACAGGCCAGCAGAGGGCACCAGATCTCATTACAGATGGTTATGAGCCATCATGTGGTCCCTGGAATTGAACTCAGAACCTCTTGAAGAGCAGCCAGTGCTCTTAACTGCTGAGCCATTTCTCCAGCCCCTCTGCTGGTTGAATTCTGAGTTGACCTTCTTTCTTACTAATGTACTGATGTTGTAGCTGGGCCATGGTGGTGCACACCTTTAATCCCAGCACTCAGGAGGCAGACAGTTGGATCTCTGTGAGTTCAAGACTAGCCTGGTCTACAGAGTAAGTAGTCTCTAAAGCTACAGAGAAACTCTCTTGACTCAGACTTACAGAGAGCTGCCTGTCCCTGCAAGGATTAAAGGAATGTGACACATGCCTAACTTTTAATTTTTTTTTAAAAGGGTAGACATGAAATTTCTGATCAGCCATAAAAGATTAGTTTCTTGATTAAATATTGAATAACTGTAAGCTGATTGTTTAGGTAGTGGTACATGGTTTTAGAATAAGCAGACCTTTGTAAATTAAACTGGGAATCTGAGTCTCTGTGGCATGTGCATTATATAATTTATTTACCACCAAGCAGAATTGACCAACTAGGTGAATGAAATCTAGTTCTAAACATTAACACCATTGGGATTTATTTTCTACATCAAAATGGCATGCTTTGCGGGGGTGCTTTCTAGTCTGATATAGTAACTTTCTCCCATGATTTTCTGTGCAGTGCTCACATGGCCTTCTGAAGAAGCCATGGGTAGCTGCTGTAGCTGTTCAGATAAAGACACTGTCCCAGATAACCATCGGAACAAATTTAAGGTCAGTAAAACCAGCAGAACTTTGCTTTTCTCCTGCTGCCTACTTAAATGGACTTGAACACCTAATTTATCTTGCCTTGTTTTTATTATCCTTTTCCAGAGTCCACCTTTTCTTATTTGAGTAAATGATGGCGCTTTCTTACTAACAATATGGATTGTTAGTCCACTTTTCATTACTGTAACAGACACCTTCAGCTAAATAAAGAAAAGAGGGTTGTTTGGTTCCTAATTTTGAATAGAAAAGTTCAGTTAGCATAGTGCTGGCCCCGACCGAGGACCCCTTTACTAGACTGCCTTGTGGTATAGTATCACAATGGTCTGCATGACCGTCTGGAATCTCACAGGTCCTGTGTCGATCCGTTTGAGGGCACACCCCCAGTAACCTAAGGACCTCCCATATGCTCACTTCTTGAAAGTCAGCACTGCCACAGTGAAGACCAAGTCTCTGACAGATGAACGCTAGGAGGACAAACCATAATAGGTTCCTCCTTTAGTTGTCATTTGGTCCTTCGTGTCCAGGTAATCACATAATTGTGGTAATTGTTTCTTTAAAATGTCATTCTGCAGTTGTCTTGGAGTCTTACATTTGTCAGCTTTCTGTAATGAAGTCTTGTATTGAAGAAGCCTTTGTTTTGGGTCAGTCTCAGAGGTTCCAGTACATGATCTATTAGCCCACTGCTATGGGACAGCTGTTCAATAGCCCATCAGGAAAGAGTGTGTTGTAGAGCAGAATCTCCTTGGTGATGGTCAGGGCATAGAAAAGGACACTGCTGGGGTCTTCATAGACATCCCCACAGTGACTAGAAGACCCCTTCTTTATAAGTGTTGTTACAGATGGGGTGTGTGCCTTTCACTCTTAAGCCTAAGGAAGATACTTAGATCCAAACTCTATCTCCATCATTTAGACATCTTCATGCATGCTTAGATAGTGAATTTTTTTCCCTTGTTTTTGTTGACTTGTTTGGTGCTCACTCCCACCCCCCAACGCAGGATTTCTCTGTGTAATAGTCCAGGCTGTCCTGGTACTTGCCTTGTAGTCCATGCTGGCCTTGAACTCAGAGATCCGCCCGCTTCTGCCTCCTGAGTGCTGGGATTAAAGGCATTTGCCACCATGTTCTGCCATTTTTTTTCTCTTGATAAGATGGTCTCACCTTTATGTCCAAGGCTGTCTTGTAGTCCTCAGTCCTCCTCTTTCCTACTCTAGCTGGGATCGTAGCCTTGTGCTACCATCTGTGGCTTGATTTCTTAACTGCACTATACTTGTATTTACCCTGTCATCATCCTGTGACTGGTCCTCTTTCGTCCTTCAGTAACCTGCGCTGATAAAATAGGATGAATGCTCCCAGAGCTATTTAGAGATCAGCTCTGCTAACTAACAGCTTTGTGCTCTTGGGCAGTGTGTATGATTATTACTAATCATTACTTCCAATGGTGTAATGGAGACCTGTAGTCTAGGGTTGTTATGAAGACTAAATGGGGAAGCACATGCAAGTCACCTGTGTGTGCCCCAGGGGCGTAACAACTTCTCCATAAATGTCTCTGGCCACTCTTTGTTTGCAGCACTAGGAGTGGATTGTAGGGCCTCATGCATGTTAGTCAAGTGCTGTACCACTGAGCCACTCACCCAGCTCATCTCTGGGCATTTCTGGAGCTGGGCAGTGCAGTCCTTTCATTAGGTGGACTTTGGGTCTGTCTCAATTTGGTCTCTTTAAAGGTACTTTATTTGGTTTCAACATTGTGTCTTCATATTGGGTTTATATCTTGTGGAGCCACCAAATTCCCCTCTTGCTGGATCTCCTCTCTAAAGTTAATCATACTCAAGTCTAGTTAAAATCCCTCTCTGTTTTCTTTAGCCACCTTAGGCAGTCATTCTGCCTTGTATAGTCTCTGTTGCATTCACTTGTCAGCTAATCCAACATAGTTTGACTTGGTGTTTGTATCTTACTTCTCCAGTGGGAATGTAAAATCTAGGCATGTGAATGAATATTATTTTATTGCTACATAGATCATACCCTACACACACTGACAAGTGGATGAACTTATCAGCAGTGTATTTTTTTCTGAAAATGGGTGAAATGTGTAAGTTATTATCATTTCTTCTTAGGTCATTAATGTGGATGATGATGGGAATGAGCTAGGCTCTGGCATAATGGAGCTTACAGACACGGAACTGATCCTCTATACCCGTAAACGTGACTCAGTAAAATGGCACTACCTCTGCCTGCGACGATATGGCTATGACTCCAATCTCTTTTCTTTTGAAAGTGGTCGAAGGTGTCAGACTGGACAAGGTAGGTAAAGCCTTCGTCTTCTCCAGATATACCTGAAACATTATGCTTTCAGTTACTCTGTGTACAGAGCTTCATTTCTGAAGGAAAGACTGGGAATGGTGCCACATACTTGTACACCTAGCACTTGGGAGGCAGAAGCAGGAAGGTTATTGCAAATTCTACATAGCAAATTCCAGGCCAGCCAATAAATTAATAACTCCCAGAACCCCCAAACAGGGTGGTTAAAAAGATAAAGGGGTGTAGAGATAAGGAGGTTAAAAGCACTGACTGCTCTTCCAGAGGTCCCGAGTTCAATTCCCAGCAACCACATGATAACTCACAACCATTAATGAGATCTGGTGCTCTTTTCTGGACACAACACTATTGTAACACAAAAATGACACAGAGACTGATATTGGGGTTTAGGATTCAAAATGAAGATTAGAAAAGCAAAGTAGCCAGACCAGTAGATCTTACTACCTATACCAAGGTGAAATGGTAATCCTGTCTCTATGAATTCTCACTAAGCCTCAGACTGCTGCCTCTCCTCAGTGTGGCTGGAGAATCAATGCCCAAGAGTGACTACTGAAGACCCTGCTCCTGTCTTTTATACATCTCTAGTGCTGGAATCAAAGGCATGAGCTGTTGTCCTTCACTCTTGTATAGGCCAGGGTGGCCTTGAACTCAGAGAGATCCATTTGCCTATCTCTTGAGTCCTGGGATTAAAGGTGTGTGCCACTACTGCCTGACCTTTATAGCTTGTGGCTGGCTTTGCTTTCTGAATCCTTGGGCAAGCTTTAATAAATCATAAATAATATATCACCACACATTATATGCATAATAAATAAGTCTTATGGACATGCAGTGATGGCACATGTCTTTAATCCTAGCACTCAGAAGACAGAGGTAGGTGGATTTCTGAGTTTGAGGCCAGTCTGGTCTACAGAGTGAGTTCCAGGACAGCTAGACAATGAAACCCTTTCTCAGAAAGAAAACAAGAAAAAGGAAACAGATTAATTAAGCATGTACTTAAGTACTTTCCCTGTAGAAATAAAATGGCTAAGTATCATTTTTGAATCTTCTTGGGTGAAGAATGCAAACAATGGAGTCACAATTATTTTATATTAATTTATTATTAACAATGGTAATGATAATAATTTTGGCTTGCTTCTAATGGAGTGGTCTGGGCAAGTTATATACTTTCTGTTGGGGCTTTGTAAAGGGGGAATGATCATAAGACCCATAGCCAGGCCTGTTGAGTGGTAGTGTTGTTTATTACTGATGGCTGGGCTCCCCCTCCTGTTCAGGCTTCTGAGTAGATGTGCAGATCTCCTTTGCTTTGCTCTGAAACATTGTCCTTTAGACAAACAAAGATTATATGGGAGCTTTATGGATTTATGCCTTGAAATAAGGCGTATGTAATTTATCCCAACTTATTTCTTACTGTTGGCACATTAGGATGCTGTTTTAGTCACTGTTATATTGCTGGGAAGAGACACCATAACCAAGGCAAGCCTTATAAAGGAAGCCATTTAACTGGGTGCGAACTTGCAGCGAACTTGTGGCAGGGAGCATGTTTTGCACACGTGGTGCTAGAGCAGTAGCTGAGAGTAGTGCATCCTGACGCACTGTGGAGACTGGGCTGGCCTGGGCTTTGACACCCAAAAACATTCCCCACAAGGCTGCACCAGATCCTACTCAAACATTCCACCAGCTGGGGACCAGACCACCACAGATATCTGTTTCATAACGTTTTCTTTGGTTTCATTGGCACTTTCATGCATGCATATAATAAAATTTGATCATATCACCCCTCTTGTCCTCTCTTACTCATCTCCACTGTTGCTAATACCTTTTCCTTCCCCCATCTACTCTGATGTCGTTGGGAGGGGTTTGGGATAATCCCAATGCAGTGAGAGTTTGTTCACAGGGGCATAGGCACCTTGCCTTGGCTTCACCATTAATAAAATGTCTTCCCTTCCCACACTATTAACTAAGTATAAATCCTAAGCCCCCTGGAGCCAACTCCCCTACCCCATGACAGGGTGTGTTGATGGGTCTTATGCACATAAGTTCAGTTCTTATGCACATAATCCCAGCTACTGTGAATTCAAGACTGCAACAACTTTTCATGTCCGGAAGTCAGCACTGCATAACACTCCCTGCCCTTTCTTCTGCACTGTTCCTGAGCCCTGGAGGGGTCTACATTCCCAATTATGGCTGGGCGTCCAGCAGTCGCTTGTTTTCTGTCCTTTGATGAATCCTGCAGTCAGTGCTGACCACTGCTCTCTTGACCAAATTCCTATGGCTTTTTAAAGGCACGGTTGCCAAGTTTCCCTCTTGATTTCTATTTGTAGGAATCTTTGCTTTTAAGTGTGCCCGTGCAGAAGAATTATTTAACATGTTGCAAGAGATTATGCAAAATAACAGTATAAATGTGGTGGAAGAGCCAGTTGTGGAAAGGAATGGTCATCAGACAGAATTGGAAGTCCCTAGAACACCCCGAACACCTACAAGTAAGTGCCATTCCCTCCCATTCTGCATGTGAGACATTTATAAGGTACCGGTTATGGATATTTAATCTATAACAATTAGAAATGGTGACCAGCAACCCCTGCTAGCTTTAGATACAGATATTTTAAAGATGAAAACATTAAATATGTCACCTGTCCTAAAATGTGGGTTAAAAGCCAAGAGTATGTATAGCTCAGTGTCAGAAGGCTTGTTTGGGGGGTTGGGGGCAGGCGCTCTATCACTGACGTTGCCACACAGCACAGTCAGCTGACAAGGTAAGACTGGATGGGCCGCTATTTGTGCTCTAGGTTCTCTGTGTCCTGACAGAAGCGTCTCACCAGAGGGTTCATCTCATTCATTCTTATTCTCTGCCCTCCTCACATACACCTTTCTCCTCAGCTCCAGGGTTTGCTGCTCAGAACTTACCTAATGGATATCCCCGCTACCCCTCATTTGGAGATGCCTCATCCCACCCCTCCAGCCGGCACCCTTCTGTGGGAAGTGCTCGCTTACCCTCGGTTGGTGAAGAGTCTACACATCCTTTGCTTGTGGCTGAGGAACAAGTAAGAAACTGCCACTGTGTAATAGTGAGCTGCTCTGTGGAGTAAAGGGTCGCTGTGTAACACTTGGAGCTTTTGTCAGTATAGATTTTTAACTTCCTCTGGAATTTCTTCTGCATTGACAGTGGAAGAAATGGCATGTATTTGCTAGTGCGTGTCGAGATATGTACAGATGTCCGGGGAACTTTCTTTTGAGAAAGGGTCTCACTTTGGAGCCTTGGTTTTCTTGGAACTCTCTATGTAGACCAGACTGGCCTTGAACTTACAGAGAGATCTGCCTGCCTCTGCCTCCAGAGTGCTGGGATTGAAGACATTTCTGAGTAGCTTGTGTGTCCATACAAAGATACATCTGTTGATGAAGAAAGACAAATTCAGCCAGTTCTCATGGTTTAAGAGTTTATGCTTCAGTGAGCTACAGATGGAAGGGTAGATTTTCCTGTTGAAGTTGCTTGGTTCAAATGTGAACATTATATATATTATCAGGTAAGTCTATCTTTTGTAAGTTATATGATCATTTACCATTAAGGGATTTTTAGTATTTTTAAAGTAAATTTCTTTGGTTCTTTATGTAGTAAACATTTTTATATTACTTACATAATTACATTTTCCTCAGTTTTGCATTTCATTTTGAATCTTCAAATTTTTAGATCTAGTCCTCAGGTTACTTTCAGACTGTTTTTCTAAACTGCCACTGAGGTTTTCTTAATGGTATCTTAGTGGGTAGTATCTATTTTGCATCTATCCATTTTATAGGACTCTTACATAGGGGTTCTCTTTTTGTCAAGTCAAATCATAAGGAAATCTCAATAAAAATTGCCTTTTCCAGTTTTTATTTATTTATGAACCATGTTTTAATATCTTAGCACAGCTTTCTAAACCAGCTGTAAAATAGTAATCCTCCCTCCCTCCCTCCCTCCCTCCCTCCCTCCCTCCCTCCCTCCCTCCCTCCCTCCCTCCCTCCCTCCCTCCCTCCCTCCCTTTCTCTCTCTCCCTCTTGAGGCAGGATCTTGTTAGATAGCCTGTGATAGCCTCAAAGTTGGCTACCTTCCTGCCTCTGCCTCCAGAATACCAGAATTATGGGTATGTGCACCATGATCAGCTGATTCCTTAATGACTACAATACTGCATAAATATAATACTGTGTGTTATTTTAAAGTAGTTCTTTTTATAAAGTAAGATTTCTTTATTCTTTCCTCTCCTCCAATCTTTTTATTGGGTAAAAAATAGGTGAAAAGTTTTAAGGTAACAGTATAGCTAAAGAGGAAGTAATAAAATTAACTTATGTAAACCAGGAATGGTAGCACAAACCAGTAATCCCAATATTTGGGAAGCAGAGGGCGTTGGATCTAGTATGATGCTAACCTGGGCTATACAGTGAAACCCTGTTTCAATAAATACATAAGATGAATTGACGTGACTAAGACCTTTTTTTAAAAAATTTATGTGTATGGGTGTTTTGCCTGTGTGTATGTCTGCACCCCATGTGTGCAATGCCTGTAGGGGCCTGAAGGGGCCATTGGAGTTAGACAGTTGTGAGCTGCCACGTGGGTGCTAGGAAGTGTGAACTCAGGACCTCTGGAAGAGCAGCCAGTGTTATTAACCCCTGAGCCATCTCTCCAGCCCCCTGACTAATCAGGCTATTTTTGCTTGTACTTCATACCTGACTGATTTGCTGCATTTTCTTTTTAGGTACATACTTATGTTAACACTACAGGTGTGCAAGAGGAGCGGAAAAACCGTGCCAGTGTCCATGTCCCCCCCCCTCCAGAGGCTAGAGTCTCTAATGCTGAAAGCAGCACACCAAAAGAGGAACCAAGTAATGTTGAAGACAGGGACCCTCAGGTTCTTCTGAAACCCGAAGGGGTCAAGTTTGTTTTAGGACCGACCCCTGTTCAGAAGCAGTTGATGGAGAAGGAGAGACTGGAGCAGCTTGGAAGAGAGCAAGTTAGTGGAAGCGGTGCCAACAGCACGGAATGGGACACTGGCTATGACAGTGATGAGCGGAGAGATGTCCCCTCTGTTAACAAACTGGTGTATGAAAATATAAATGGGCTATCTATCCCGAGTGCCTCAGGGGTCAGGAGAGGTCGGCTGACATCTACCAGTGCCTCAGACACACAGAACATCAACAACTCAGCTCAGAGGAGAACTGCATTGTTAAACTATGAGAATTTACCATCTTTGCCTCCTGTTTGGGAAGCCCGCAAGCTAAGTAGGGATGAAGACGACAGTTTAGGACCAAAGACCCCATCTCTCAACGGCTACCATAATAATCTAGATCCAATGCATAACTATGTTAATACAGAGAATGTAACTGTGCCAGCAAGTGCTCACAAAATAGACTATTCAAGGCGGCGGGATTGTACCCCGACAGTCTTTAACTTTGACATCAGGCGCCCCAGCTTAGAACACAGGCAACTCAATTATATACAGGTGGATTTGGAAGGTGGCAGTGACTCCGACAACCCTCAGACTCCAAAAACGCCTACCACTCCCCTTCCACAAACCCCTACCAGGCGCACAGAGCTGTATGCTGTGATAGACATCGAGAGAACTGCTGCTATGTCCAATTTGCAGAAAGCACTGCCACGAGACGATGGGACATCTAGGAAAACTAGACATAATAGTACTGACCTGCCCATGTGAGCCCGGAGAGCATTATGCCGTTTGCACCTTCGTGACGTTTTCCAAAATGAAGATGCAATGCTTCATTTCATTTCTACACTAACTCCTTTTATAGACTGATTCATTTTTTCTGATTATTTCATGTGCATCTTTAAAGGGAATTAATGTAGAGCAGGTACTCCTTAAAGAACAGTTATGTCATTATATTCTCATTATTGTACAGCAGCATTCCCATTTTCACAGTGCCTATTTAAAATGAGATTTGAAGTGAATGACATGCTGGTTGCTTTCTATTCCATATCCAGGACATGTGCATATCTTCCACGTCTAAGTTGTGTTGGCATCTGAACCTTTTATAAAGTCTCTTGATAACATGCATTGCTAACATAACTCTAGGTCTTGAAGGTTGGACTCGTAGATTCACTGCTCACAGTGTATGGTCTCCAGCATGGAACACGGGGAATCTTATTTCGTTAATTACAGGCTTTTTGACTTGGGCCAAAAAAAGAAAAGAAAAAAAACCCAGAAGAACCACACCTCCTTTTATACCAGTCAGCTCCTGTGTCTTCAGTGTTACTAGAAAGTGTCCAGTATCCTGAATATGGTTGTGCATTGGAAGGCAGACAGGAGACCAAGTTCTGTTTACTCATCTCATGGTGTCGTTTGAAGGGCATGTCCAGATATCTTACTCAGAACTACGGTGGGTTTAGGAATCAGTCTCAGGTCACTTACCCAAAAACATTTGAAAAATCTACACCATGATCTCTTGGCGTTTCTTTTCCATAGATTATTCACAGCACATTATTTTCTGGAGATGTTTGTGCCATTAAATTCCCAAGTAGCTTCAGTTCTTGGTTGTTTTTTCCCCTTTGGTGTTTGGGTTGTCTTACTTTGTTTTGTAATGTCTTTCTTAATTTACAATACAATGTTTCAGTTTGTATATCATTTTGGGGATGGGATTGTATGTTTGTTAGTTAGTTTGCATTTTTGTCAAGTTATAGTCTTGGAGGTCTATTTGGAAGTGACTGTTATTTTCTAACAGGGTTGCCCTTGTCCAGTATTTATTTATCTGCTGTTTACTTTTCCAGTTGATGAAAAAAAAATTCCAATTTTAAGTCTCATTTGTGTCCAGAGGTGATCTCTTTAGTAGCTGAGAAGAAAAGGAAGATGCTCTCAAACATGAGAGTTCCGGAAAGGCCCTGTCCTCCCTGTGGGCGCACCCCCAGCACTTTAGCAGGGATTGCCTTAGCTATATGGCTGCAGTCCCGCTCACTCTGCCCACTCTGCTGTTCCTGGGCTCTGCTGGCCTTTCACGTGGGGCCAGGCTCTTCTTAGCCCCTGATGATTTGGGTGAGCTGCTAACATTGTTGCCAGCGTAGCAGGTACAGGGAAGTCTTGACACAATGCAATTATGTCATAATTAGGATATGAAATGAACTAAAATTTATTTAAACCTATGAGAGTTCAGATGTCAAACTCTGGGGGAAAAAAAGCTCCAAATTCCCAAACCACATAGAATAAAGAGAGTGGGAGGACAAGTAGCCTTACAAAATATTTTATTTTTCTCTAACGTTGAGGAAGTTTCATGTTATGATCTGGATATATCCGATGTGACCAAGGTTGATTTAACAAGAAAACATTTCAGTTACAGAATATTCAATACATTCAGAACTCATCACAGAACGGGAAATAGATGAGAAGAACAGTTGAGTGGGCCACAATGAAAATACTACATCGTCATTGGCGTTTTCGCTCCATTGGTTTTATAGCACATCTTCATTTTCCTTCTGTTCTCCTCTGTAAACTCGGTGCTTATTACACTGTCCCTGCTCTCTAGAAGTCAGTGGCTAGGTGTGCAGACTCCATGTTTGATATCCTGTTCCTTTATCCCTTCTTCTGAGTAGATTGCTAAAAATCGTGCCAAATTTCAGTGGTGGGTTTTGAACGTGGGGGTAAGCGCCCTGGTGGCAGCACTCCACACGGTTTCCTCTGTAAGGAGTCAGGACAGAGCCTAGCTCTCCAGTGAGAGGGCTCATGTGTCTGTTCATTCTGGAGCTGGATGTCTTGTTCTTTCTTTCCTTTGTACTCTTCACTTTCCCCTTCAGATTTGAATTAGATTTTATATTTTTTTTTGGTGACTCTAATCACTACAGTTTTTTATGCTTTAAATAGTGCATAGTTTAAGAATGAAAACGGGACCAATTTGTCTGCTAAACTTTTGATTTTAGGGTACTATGTAAGTATTAGTTAGGAAGAGGTAAACAGGTGGTGTTAATTTCTAGGTGTCTTCTGGAAATTGCCTTTGTTTAATCGGTCATTTATACCACTCTCCTTTACAGTAGTCTCATACTGGGCATTAAGCTCCGTCCTGGAAGAATGTACCTATTACTATTAGTGAATTTTGGAGTGAGATTTTTATTGGCACACATTTGTGGCCATATGACTTAGATTTTCTGAGACAAACCTAACTTTATATAGTTGGTTTTGTTGATTAGACCATGTGACCCTACTTTTTTGATTTGGACGTATAATCCTTGCTACCTTGTTTTCCTCCAAATAAAATCCTTTTGTATCCATATAGATCACGACAATATTTTTTTCCAGACCAGGGTTGAAAAGTGATATGGGTATTACTAGTGTTTTTCTGAATGTTTATTTCTCAGTTTCATCTTCCTTTGAAAAATTGAAAGTATGGTGCCTTCCCTCCCTCCAAGAAGATTGGCAAATAGTTCCCTTTGTTTACTGCTGCTGTGGAGTGATGAGACATGCACTTTACTCTCCAAGACTCAGCAAAAAGCTTTCACTTCTCAGTATATCCATGACAGATCACATTTGGGACTTGAGAATCTTTGCCAAGCAATCTTTGTCACTACATTATTAATGTTGACCTCCCCCACGATGCTATAAGTCCAACCGATGTTTGTTTATTCTCTCCACTGTTCCCACCCCAGATCTGTGGCACAGCATATAAAAATGTACCTCAATAATGTTCTATTAAAAATGGGACAGTGGCCTTAAGTTTTCATAATTTTCCAACATGTGCCACCGTATATTTGCCTCAAGGTAAAGGTCTTAACAAGCTAAAAGTACTTCCCAGTGTCCCCTGTGCAGTTTTCTGTCCACAATGCCCAAGTGTTTTGTGCAATGTGTAGTGTGTATATATAAATATATATCTATATATTCTTGAAATAGGCATAACATCAGAGACGTCATTCAGAAGTAATGTATTGGCATCTCATTCATATTTCTGATGTGAATTGTATGGTACTATTTACTTTTTCCGTAATGTTTTCCAAATCTGAATCAAGGCGTTGGTACGAAATTGCAGAATGTATAGGAAACATTTTGGCTTGAAAAGTTAACAAATGAAAGTATTCAGACCTATCAGTGTACTCTGCCCAGACCTGCATCCTGTCTTCTTGCTTCCTGTTCCCCATTCCTGCTTCTTCACTCTTCAGGGTGTAATAATTCTCTCATACCATCCTATAAGGGTGAGATTCTCGAGCAGTTGGACAAGAAAGCATGGAAACAGGCTGGTATCAATAGTACGGTAGTCACCAGGTGCCACACTTGCATTAGTAAATGCAAAATGTTTTATAAAGGACAAACTTTGTGTTATGTTTCTATTTTCATTACATTGTATAATAATGTAAGATTATTGTATGTCCTAATTTGCATTATAAATGTTTTTTCCTACATAAAGGCATAAATATAGCAACTTTGTATAAAGGTAGCTTATTAGATTTTCATTTTTCTTTTATAGAAGTTGTCTACAGTGGGACTACCATTGCCAAATTGTATATGTGATATGAATTTTACCCCATGGTTAATTTCTTTTCTAAACATTCCACATTTCCTTAATGAACGATGTGATACTGTACTATGCATAGATTGTGTTTTAATGCTGTTTCATATCAGCATTTTAATTTTGCATTTGCATTTTTGGTATTGGCAAAAACGTAACCACTGGTAATTAAAATAAACCCTTGTTGTATATGTAACAGCATCATCTGCCCTCCATCCCTTCTGGCCCCCTGTTCTTTATTCTCCCTGTCAGTGCCAACTTCATACATTTTGTAGCATGGCAATAAAATGTAACTTTTACACTGAGGCCAAGTGTGGCTTTTTGGAGGCAGTGGGGTGGGAGGATTGCCACTTAGTTGTCCTAGTATGTAACTTTCTGCCATCTAAGCCATGTTGTCACATAGAGGTTATATATGATGTGAACATGCTTTAAGGACAAGTGTGGATGTGCTTTAAAACTTTGTTTTTAATGTAACAATAATTAATTTTTAATATTTGGAAATGTCAGAGTTCTTGAAGTACAATCAAACCTTTATTAACTGGAGTACTTAAAGAATAAGGTAATAATGGAATTTTGTTAAACAAGGGCTAAGCAACACTTTTTAAAGATTCTTATTTATTGTGGAGTATTAGTATACTTTACTATCCTAAAATTATGATGTGTCAACTATGGTTTAATATTAGACAATGTAGCATCTTGCAATGCCTTACTGTTATCATTCTGCCATCAGTATCCACGATGAGGCACTCAGGCTGGTACTGGAAGCTGAGATGACTATACACTGACCTTAAGTATTCATGAAAACTGCTTTGTTGAATAAAATCTGAGATCTTATGGTCACTCTTCCCTTATTGCCAAAAGTAGACTGCAATAAAATCCAAATAAAAGCTTGGTTGGATACTTCTTGAAAGTTTAACTGTATTTATATTCCATATATTAGTTGACACCATGTGAGAAAGCTTGCTTTTTTGTTTGTTTTGTTTGTTTGTTTTTTGTTTTATGAGACAGGGTTTCTCTGTATTGTTTTGGAGGCTGTCGGTCCAACCTGGCCTCAAACTCAGAGATCCGCCTGCTTCTGCCTCCCGAGTGCTGGGATTAAAGGTGTGCACCACCACCGCCAGCTGAAAGTTTGCATTTTTAAAAAGATTTTAACCATTCTTAAATTGGGAGTGGTGTTACGCATGTGAGTGAAGTGGCCTTGTAGGCCAGAAGAGGAAGTTGATTCTCAACAGATTCCTGACTGTGACTGGTGAGAAACCAGCTATGTCCTCTGCAAGACCAGTATGTGCTAACTACCGAGGCAAAGTGAACATGTATGCTCTTACTTGGCAGACTTTATCACTATCTATTGTGTGTGGTCATTCTAGTTTATCTTTCTCAGTTCTGGGAACCTAGACCTGCTTTTAGCCACCAAATGAGACTGCCAAGCCTTGTCTACAGCAGAAAGGGGAATTCATTTAAGCAAGGTAGGGGTAGACAAATTCACAAATAATTGGGTGTGTATACGTGCCACACATTATAGACCACTCGAATTGTTATGGTGATACAAATGGGGTGTTAATGCTCGGAAGTTTAAAACTGAATTATTGGTGTAGTTTTCCTTTAAAGATCTTCTGAGGACAGTAACTTAACATGTTCTTACTTACAGGTGGCCTTAAATTAGGCCCTGTGCTAGTCATTGAGACAGCAGTCTTTGTCCTCAAAAGAATCTGTAGTTAGACCATCACTAATTGTCTTTTCTCCCAGAGAACCAAGCCCTAGGACATATTGCATATTACAGCCAAACTCTTTGGAAACTCCTGAATGACAGTAGCCAATTTCCTTAAGAGAACTGAGGAGGGTGTTACTTTTGGAGAAAGGGGTGTTGGTGTGGGAGTGTGTAGGACTGGCTCACACTGGCACAGACAGCTAACAGTTCCTCAGTCTGAGAACAAGAAACATGGACTTTGTTGAGGGGAAGGTTTGTCCTATACACTATAGAATGTCCAGCAGCGCCCCTGTCCCTCCCCAATAAATACCGGAGTCACTTTCTCAGTTATAACAGCTAGCACTGTCTCCTTTTCTTGGGAGGTTGACCATAAGGAACAATTGGTTGAACTTGGACATTTTGCTCCAACCTGTGTAGCACTTATGACCCTGTCTGTATCAAAACCACCCAAACAAACTACAACATTCAAATGTTACCAACTGTCTGTTAGAGGAATAAAGTTGTCACTAGTTAATGGCATGAGGCTTAGAGCCTGCTCTTCGATGAAGAGCATGGGTGGTGGCTCTTGAAAGGGACCAAGTGTGCTTCCTATCACATCGGCGGGTTCAAAGATGTAACTCCAAAACAAAGCTCTCGAAGAAATACACAGCAAGGTCAGCTTCGTCAGAAATGGTGTCTAACAGAGCCTCCTCTCTCCACACTACATCCTACTGCCACCTTGTGAGAAGAGAATGGTAGGAGCCCTCTGAGGGCATCAAAATCTAACTCACAGAATATTGTAAAAGAAGAAATTCTTTCATTGTTTCTACTTTAAAAACCATGGAATCAGCTGGCAGTGGTGGTGCACGCCTTTAATCCCAGTACTGGGGAGGCAGAGGCAGGAGGATCTCTGAATTTGAGGCCAGGCTGGTCAAAAGAGTGAGTACTAGGACAGCCAGGATTGTTACACAGAGAAACGCTGTGTCAAAATGAGGGCAGGGGAGGGTGTCCTGGAGCCAAGCTAACCAAATGTCACCCCAGCAGAGGCTCTGTTTTGATGGATGGCCTTCATGTCACTCTTTATTGGTGATGTTTAAACCGTTGTACACTTTTTCCTGTGTGAGCTGTACTTCTAATTGCTAATACAATTATCACACAAACGTGACTGGATTCTTTTAGAGTCTTAAGACCAGCACACATTCCGTCTTAATTAAGCCTGCTTTAGTAAACTGTTCAAAGTAGTCCCATAGATACTGAAGACAAACCATGGGGGAGGGTCAGACAGCCACAGGAGGGGGCGGTGGGAGACCCCAGGCCAGCCCTGGAGCCGCTTGTGGATCTTTCTAGCTGTCAGCACACAACTCCGTCTTTTATTTTGGGAATTCTTCACTTTGTGACTCAAATCGTGGGACTGAATCTGAAAACTCAACTCTAGTCATCCTTTTCATCTAGGGTGGGGCAAGGACCAATGAATACCAATGAATTCTCCCTTGGGGCCCGGATTCAGCTGCTAGTGATGCAATAAGCAGGATGAAGTTAAAACAAAGCCTGCTCTGCAAAAGAGACAGCCAAGGGCCAGCGCAGCAGCCAGTGCCACGGGTGAGGGACACACATCAACAGAATACTTGCAGAGCAAGGGACTTACATTGGGTCACCCACCCTCACTCGGGGGCTGGTGTTAAAAGCGCTGAACAGAAGTCCTGTGCATTGGAACAGAGACACAGGGGAAGCACTCCACTTTCCCCACCCTTACAGAGAATGGTATCCTCTGTAAGATGGGGGCGCTGTTGTTTGCCCTAGGTTCCCTGTATCAGAGCATTAGTGCTCAATAAGTATGGGACATTATCACAAAGACACACGTTCCTCTTACAAGAAGTGGAGTAAAACACTCATCTATAAGCTGTACCTAAGCACTGGGCACTGTGCTTAGCGCTTAGTAGGTGCTCAGTAAATAACAGCCAGCAACCATATTTCTATTGCTATCATTCCTAGGGACTGGAGGGAAGCTGCCTCATGACCATTTGTGGTCACCACTGACTGAGCTAAATATAGAGGCAGAGGGCAGCACTGTGTAGAGGCGACACAAACACGCAAACAGAGGAGGGCTCAGGAGAAGAGTCCTTGACACTCAAAGTCTAGCAAGGCCACACCCACCAGCTTTGGTCATAATCCTGTGAGTAGGAAATGAGTGGTGACAGGTCCCCAGGCTGCCCCGTAGAATCACTGAGCAGATGCTCCTGACCCATGGCTGTGTCACAGTGAAGGTGTCGGAGGATCATCGGGTCACAGGTGATCTAAGCCATCCTACAAGCCCGGCTGCTCTTTCTGGATTCCTCCTCCTCCTCCTTCATCATCATTATTTTAGACAGTCTCTCACTCTGTAGACTAAGCTGCCTGGAATCTCATTATGTAGTCTGGGTTGGCTTTAAGTTTGCAGCAATTCTGTCTCAACTTCCCAAAGGGTTATAGGTGTGAATCATCATGTCTGGCCAAGTTTTAGTTTTAATATATGCCCTTAAAAAACAAAATCAAGGGGCTGGAGAGATGGCTCAGAGGTTAAGAGCACTGACTGTTCTTCCAGAGGTCCTGAGTTCAATTCCCAGCAGCCTCATGATGGCTCACAGCCATCTGTAACAAGATCTGTCTGGTGCCCTCTTCTGGCCTGCAGATATACAGAGGCAGAATGTTGTACACATAATAAAATCTTAAAAACAAACAAAAAAACCAAAATCAAACAGCACAAAAGGGTGTAAATGAAGAAGTTAGCATCTCTGTCATCCTAAACCTCCAGGAAGATTTCTTAGAAATAATCACCATTACTTAACAGAAACATTTACTCACCCACCAGGACGTACAAATGTGTTTTCACAGCTGGAAATCACAGAAATTGTTCTGAACCTTGCTTGTTTCATACACAACTTTTCCTAAGCATCTTTCCAAATCAACTCATATAGATGTTTATTTTTAATAGTTACCTATAATATAATGAGGTGATATTATGAGTAAGATTTCAATGGCATGGCTAATTTGCTTTTCACTTACCCAGAATCAGTGGGTTGTTGAGTCACAGGGTTATGGGGAGAGAACCTTTCTGTTCTGAGAATTTATCCAGGAATCCAGGATGACACAAAGTGATGCCAGCTTTAGCATGTTGTTCCCACATACTTGCTGGCTTCTAGTCACCCCAGGTGACACAAATGAGGCCAGTGGATGTGGAAAAAAAAAAACAGAAAGAATATGGAAGAGGGTGAGGAGCCTGCTTCTTGTTTTATAACCAAAAGTGATGTCAGGGAGACAAACATTTTTGCCTCCATTTCTAGTATACAGAACTTTAACTTTAGTACTCTGTGTGTGTGTGTGTGTGTGTGTGTGTGTGTGTGTGTGTGTTCCCACAGAGGCCAAAAGAGTGTGCTGGATCCCTCAGAGCTGGAGTTAAAGGCAGTTGGAGCCATTGGATATGAGGGCTGGCATGGAACTGAGGTTCCCCTGAAAGGCCAGCAAAGCGCTCTTAACCTTTGAGACAACTCTCCAAGCCCCAGTGGTCAGAACCCAAAAACCCTCTATACTGTCTGGTTTTGTGTCAATGTGACACAAGCTAGAGTCATCAGAGAGGAAGGAGCCTCAGTTGAGGAAATGCCTCCCTGAGATCCAGCTGTAAGGCATTTTCTCAATTAACTACCTAAATGGGGGTAGGCTGAGTAAGCCAGGGAAAACAAGCCAGTAAGAAGCACCATGGCCTCTGCATCAGCTCCTGCCTCCAGGGTCCTTCCCTGATTTTCTTCAATAATAAACAGCAAGATAGAAGTGTAAGTCAAATAAATCCTTTTCTCCCCAAATTGTACATTTTGCATTTTTACTTTATCAGCTTGCTCCTTTTCATTAAAGATCTTTAATTGAGTTAACACTAACAGGACAGATTCTATACTAGGCTGTTTTGAGATTTCCTTTGCCAATGGAATTAATCCAAAACTCAATTTAGCTGTAGGCAGACTTTTCAGGCACAGGCAAAAGGCAGCCATATTCTTCATCAATTCAATGTCATTACTGTATCACAAGAATGATCTCTAGGCAACATATTAAAATTCTTCTCCAAAACCTCTTAAGCCAGGCAACCCACAGTTCATCAAACCACTCAACACCACTGTCGTCCATATTCCTTCTAGTATGACCCATTAAGCAGCACTTAAAGTGTTCAGTTACCTTTCTAATCCATATTACTATACTCCAAATAAAAACATGGTCAGACACATCACAGAAATACCCCAGCCCCTGGTACCATCTTCTTAGTTAGGGTTTCTATTGCTGTAAAGAGACACCACGACCATGGAAACTCCTATAAAGAAAAATATTTAATTGGGTAGCTTACCATTCAGAGGTTTAGTTCATTATCATGACAACAGGACCTAGTGGTGTACAGACAGGAGTCCTACATCTTGAGGCGCAGGCAACAGGAAGCAACTGAGCGAGGCGTAAATTGGGAATAGGAGACCTCAAAGCCCCCAGTGACAAACTTCCTCCAGCAAGGCCACACCTCCTAATAGTGCCACTTCCTGTTGTGGTTGATTGTTACTCTTGGCTTCCTGGTTATTTTGTGGAGCCTGCCATCAGCTCCCAAATAAATCGCACACAGAGGCTTAGTCTTTGTTATGAATGCCCAGCCTTAGTTTGGCTTGTTTCAGCCAACTTTTCTTAACTTGAATGAACCCATTTACCTTTTCCATCTGGGCTTTTATTTTTCTTCTGTATATCTTACTTTCCTTCTCACTCCTTGACTGGCTGACCCCTATCATCCTCCTCTGCTTGTTCTCTCTTTTCTCCTCCTCTTCCTCGTTTCTCCTCCTATTTATCCTCTCTGCCTGCCAGCCCCGCCCATCCTTGCTCCTGCCTCGCTATTGACCGCTCAGCTCTTTATTAGACCATCAGGTGTTTTAGACAGGCAAAGAATCACAGCTTCACAGACTTAAAACAAATGCAGCATAAACAAACATCACACACTTTACGGTAATTTCCACCACAACTCCCTGTGAATTCACAGGGGCCACACACACCTTAAATCCCAGCACTCAGCAGGTAGAGGCAGGCTAAACTTTGAGCTTTGAGACCAGCCTGGTCTATAGATTCAGGAACTACCACAGTGTCATCCTTGAACAGTCCCTGGAGTGTTCTGACTGGTCACTGCTCTTTCTCAACAGGACACTACTACAGAGCAGGCACATTTGGTGGACACTGAAAAGCAGCTGGTACATTGCACCCTGAGGTTGCATTCTGATTATCTCTGCTTTAGAAGGCTAGTCTGCCTCCCCTTTCTTTCTTGTTCTTTTGTGTTTGTTTTGGCTGGAAACAGATCCCAGCGCCTCACTTCTGCTAGGCAAGCATTCGACCATTGAGGGTTTTTCATTTTGTTTTGGTTTTTCGAGACAGGGTTTCTCTGTATAGCCCTGGCTGTCCTGGAACTCACTCTGTAGAAGAGGCTGGTCTCGAACTCACAGAGATCCACCTGGCCTCTGCCTCCTGAGTGTTGGGATTAAAGGCATGTGCCATCATGCCCTGCTCAAAGGTATCTTTTTAAAGTGTGGAGAGATGTTAATGGTAATACAGAAACAAGAAAATGCAAACCGGAACACATTGCTTCTGATAATATGTCCTGATACAGGTTTGTTGGAGCTGGGGGGGGGGGACCTCTAAGGGATGGAGACCTTTGACTCAACACTTTCAGGGACATGTCCTAGAATACCTAGCCTTGTGTTGCTTTTGGTCATGCTCAGTAAACTCTCTGCTACTGAGCTATCTCCCAGTCCTGGGGCCCTCACATCTGTATTTACAAGGGTGTTTGTAGTAGCCACATATTATAAGTAACCTATTGCTCCAATGTAAAGAACTGTTTAAATCATTGTATACAAATAGGAATACTATGCAAGTATTTAAAATAATTGTATATTTTATACCTGCAAGTATAAAATGCTTCCATGGTGTGATTATTTTTAATCATTAAAATTAATGATAAAAATTAATCACTTGTAGCCAGGCGTTGGTGGCGCACACCTTTAATCCCAGCACTTGGGAGGCAGAGGCAGTTGGATCTCTGTGAATTCGAGGCCAGCCTGGTCTACAAAGTGAGTCCCAGGACAGCCTCCAAAACAATACAGAGAAACCCTGTCTCGAAAAACCAAAAAAAAAGAAAAAAAGAAAAAGAAAATCACTTGTAGCAAAAAAGGAGGACTACACATTCCAATATTTATAGTTGTATGTGTGTAATGGAAATATGGGTATTTTTCAGTTTTTACTTCTCTACCTTTGTCATAGTATTTTCATTAGGGGGAAAAAGACAATTAGGAAAGAGTAGACAAAGGAGACCAGGGCTTAAGTGACTAAAGGCAAATAATGAGTTGAACAAGGCCTCCCAGACCCTGCCTGTCTGTTGGGCCTGTCACCAGACACTCAAGTTGTTATCAGGAGCACTTTTCACTGTCAAAGTGACTGGCTTTTGTCACAGAATTCCGGGTTATAAAGGGAAGGTACAAAGGATCCAGAGCAGTTAGCCGAGCCAGTTCCACTCCTTGACAGAGCTGGTGGGCAGAGGCTCGCCCGGCGGTGGTGGGCTTCACATGGGCAACACCATCAGGTCTCTCGTGGCCTTCATCCCCACTGATCGCTGCCAGAGTTACGTGGTGGGGGACCTCCGGGAGATGCCGCTGGACAGGATGGTGGATCTGAGCGGGAGACAGCTGCGCCGATTCCCGCTACACGTGTGCTCCTTCACCGAGCTGGTAAAGCTCTACCTCAGTGACAACCACCTCCACAGTCTGCCTCCAGATCTGGCACAGCTGCAGAACCTGCAGATCCTGGCCTTGGATTTCAACAACTTCAAAGCCCTTCCTCGGGTGGTGTGTACCTTGAAGCAGCTCTGCATCCTCTACCTGGGCAATAACAAACTCTGCGACCTCCCGGCTGAGCTCAGCCTGCTCCAGAACCTCCGTACCCTGTGGCTTGAGGCCAACTGCCTCACCCAGCTGCCCGATGTGGTGTGTGAGCTGAGCCTCCTTAAGACCCTGCATGCGGGCTCCAATGCCTTACGGCTGCTGCCGGGCCAGCTCAGGTGCCTGCGTGAGCTCAGGACCATCTGGCTCTCAGGCAACCAGTTGGCTGACTTCCCCCCTGTGCTGCTTCGCATGCCCTTCCTGGAGGTGATCGATGTGGATCGGAACAGTATCCGCTACTTCCCCAGCCTGGCCCACTTGACCAACCTGAAGCTGGTCATCTATGACCACAATCCTTGCAGAAATGCCCCTAAGGTGGGCAAAGGTGTGCGCCGTGTTGGGAGATGGGCAGAAGAGACAACAGAGCCTGAGCCCAGAAAAGCTAGGCGATATGCACTGGCCCAGGATGAGTCAAGAGCCATCTGCTCCCCTTCCTCCTCCCAGCTCCTGAGTAGCCTCGGTTGCAGGCCGGTCAACATGGGCCCAACTCATCCGAAGACACCTCATTAGAGTGGATGGGGGTCGCGGCTCACCCCAGGTGAGGCGCTGTTTGTAAAGGGATATTGAGAAGAAAACATTTCCATTCCACTGCAGCTCTTTCTAGTGCAAGGTGTGGTCTGTTTGTGGCCTGGAACCCAGAGTGACCGTCACTCCTAAAGCAGCTTCTTCAAATAAGCAATTTTCAGACCCTTTGGCCTTTTCCACTATGCAGAAATGGCTGGACCTTAGGCTGGTGAGTGCTTCAGATAAGGTATTTGTTAAAATAAAAGAAAAACTATCGGATGTTCAGTTTCTCTGTCCCCCCTCCCCCTCATCTATTTTCTTTACCATGAATCGTGTCAATGTACTGTCACTAATTTGGAGCCTGAAAAGGGCACCTCTACCCAGTCAATCTTGATTCGAAGAAAATAGCTGTTGTTACAAAGGCCTTACATTCCCAGCATCCACTGAAAAGACCAGAGAACCTGGGGCCTCTTGGTGGGGTTGGGCCTCTCCCATCTTCGCAGTGGTTCAAGTTAACTTAGCTAACTTCCACTAAGTTCTGCTCAGTTCTATCATCTGGAAAGCCAAGCCTTTCTCCTCAATGCAGCTGTGTGATTCCGGCACTGAGTCCCGGCCGGCCTCCACAGCAATAAAAAGCAAGCCACGCTTCCAGTCATACTATGTTAAAGGCAGAATGTAAACGTCAGTTCACTTAAAACAAGCACAAGTTTGAGTTGGGTTTCAGGGCCGATTAAGTGTCTGTCCTATGTGTAGACATTCTGGCCTTTTATCACCATTTGTTTGGGTTTTTGTTCGTAAGGTCTTTTGGCAGTCAGTCTCCAAACCCCGGTGTTTGGGGCGTTATTTAGGAAGTATGTAAATTGAGATTTCAATACATAAACTCTAAACTGCTGTCAGTGGATGACCTAATAACCTTTCCAAAATTCAAGGACACAAAATGTTACCCTATCCAGACAACCATACTGAGCTTTTGGAGTTAGGGAGGGATCTGACCTTTACAAGTACAGTTCTGAAATGACAGAACTCTTCCAGAAATACTGCTGGCCAAGTCAGAGGTCCCAGAGTATCATATAACTGTCACCACCTCCCCGTGCAGAGGACCTAACAGCCTAGTCATCAGACCACCAAAGACGGCTCTAATCACTAAATATAGTACGTTTACACCCACAGGGCAGATTTCTTCTATTCATAAGACCACATTTCTCCTAGATTGCTAGAAGGCAGTCTTTTTTTATAGCCCTTTCTTATTCAGGGTGATTGAAGCCATATACTCAGCTGATGCTAAAAACAATTTGCAAACAAGAATTTGTCTTCCAAGCCTCTGCTACAGCACTATACAGATTGCTTTTTGACCAGTCTTCCCTCTGCAGCCTTGAGTTGAAGTTAGCTGATCTCACTGCTCTGCATCCAACATTAAATCACCAACATCTGGACTGTAGTCCAACGGTTTTACCTAAATCAGGAAGCCTGCAACACATACCTTTCTCAAGCATGGCTGATTTTGCTGTTTAAAAAATGTTTTCACTGTAGGTTTCACAACACTATTATATGGTACTTACATTTCTTTTAACTCTTCTGGTGGTCTGGGAGATGCTAAGATCACCTGTCAGCAAATAAGGAAGAATAGCTAAAGCACCAAATACTATTTCACCCCTGGATTTTAAGTCTGGAAACCCCAAGGACTGGACTGGGGAAATCTCTTGCAGACCACTCCCAAATGAACATGAAGCTAGACAAGCTATTAACTCTTCACTCTTCCAGAACTTCATATGTAGAATTTTAGTTTTCACAAATAAGATGAGGGGTATCAACCTGTGCTGGCTAGTTTTCTGTAAACTTGACACAAGCTAGACATTTGGGAAGAGGGACCTTCAACGTAGAAAGTTGTTTCACCAAACTGGCCTGTGGGCAAGTTTGTGGGGGCATTTGCTTGACTTATGGTTTATCTGGGGAAGGTGTCACCCTGGGCTGGTGGTTCTAGATGCTACAAGAAAGCAAAAGAAACCAGAAGAAAGCCAGTATATGTGTATGTATGTACATACACACACACAATATTTTATATTTATACAGTGGGGAAATAAAATACAGGGGAGTACTTCAAAATCCCTAGTATGTCAGATTCAATGACAGCAAATCAGCAACCCTGGGATAAGTTTCAATTGCCTTTTCAGAAACATCGGTTCAGTTCCCAGTATCCATAGTGGCTGACAACCACTCTAGGGAATCTCATGCCCTCTTTTGACCTCCTCAAGCACCAGGCACACATACACACATGTAAGCAAAGCAGATCTTAACATACACCCACATATGGAGACTACAGGCTGACACCTCCCTCTGGTACTCTCCACTGTGGGTAAGAGTCTGGCTGAACCTGAAGCCCACCCACCGCACAGGTTGGCTGTGACTAGCTAACTCCAGGGACCCTGCAGACTGCTTCTTCAGTGCTGAATTTAGACGTGTATCACATGCTGAGGACCCTAGCTCAGGTCCCCATGCATATGTGACAAGCATTTTTCTGACTGTGTCATTTCCTAACCCTCTGATAACAACTTTGAAAGCCCTTTCTCCCCTATGAGAGCATTCTGAGATTGTCAGAGATGCCAGTGAAATGCCTACCTACACTTTTGAGCTCTTAACTTCTGTGCATGCTGCAATACACTAACTTCCAGATCTAAGTCACATTTAAGTTAAACTCAGTACACATCTATGCTCACTTCCTTTTCTTATCAAAACAAAACCCCTAACAAAATAACCATAATGAAGTTTACGTAAATCCCTTATCTTAAGATAATGTTACCCTATTAGGGTACCAGAGAGAGGTGGACAGTTAAATATGACTTTTTTTCAAACTTGAACAGAATATAAGAAAGGGTACTTTGGTACTTCTACTCCAAGTTAATATGCAGTAAAAGCTATGTATGACTGAGTATGCATATGGCCCATCAACAAAGCCAAAAGACTAATGTAGTATCCATGTTTAAATCTGACTGGAACATAATCAAGATAATTATTTAATAAAAGAATAAGGTCAATAAGTGATTAAGCTGAAACAACTCCACACTGAAATACAATCACTTCCATTAAGTACATTTCCAGTAGGAAGAATAAACAGATCAACCAGTAAGACATTAAAGGCTACTTTAAGTAACTGGATTTTTATTGTAATACAATCTGATAAATGAACTTGTAGTTGAATTGTATGGAAAATGAAATAGCAAATAAATTAGACCCATGTTTAAAACAGAAGGTCAGCTAAATGTTCAAACTTAAGGCTATCAAGGGCACATCGATTCCACAGTCTTCTTTAAAAGGTTGAAGTCTTTCAAATACAACTTCGCTATGAACTGGTCCAGCGAGTAACAGCAAATGGGAATGCTTAACAGGGGTGGTGATCAGGGACACGTTTCCTATAAGGAAAAATCATACAATTAAGAAGTAAAAAAATCAAAATCAAGGCTTCAATTAGCTTTTCACTGGCTACAACCTCTGTAGCTCCACGTCCCCAGCTTAATAAACACACACTCTCCAAAAGGACTGCCTTTTCTCATTTTTTTTTCTGAAGATGAGACCTTGCTTTATATCCTAAGACTAGACTTAAGCTCACAATCCTCCTGCCTCAGTCTCCCTAAGGAAAATACACCTGGCTTAATTCATGTTTTTCAGTAATCTAAGTTCACCAAATTAGTCAGACAGCACTAAACAAAGTCACAGAACGACAACCTACTCAGGAGCACAACTGCCAATAGGTAAGTTAGAGACTGGGTAGAGTGTGCCTTAGTATGCCAGTAATCATGTCTTGTATCTCTAATTCTCTGGCAACCATACGGTGTTTGGACATATTTTTTTGCAAAGAGATAGCAGGAATAGAAATGAACACTTTAGCTTCAAATTTCTGTGTGTAAAAAAATTTTTTTAAACTAAGTATATTTATGTACACACACACACACACACACACACACACACACACACACACACACACACACACACACACACACACACACACACACACACCCCATTTTAAATTCATACAGTGAGGAAATAAAGCTACTTCAAAATCCCTGTATGTCAGATTCAGGGAGAGTAAATCAGTAACCCCAGAATTTTCAGAAGTTCCTAAATCACACAATTTTAAACATCTGACAATCTTCCACTTGGCTTTCTGGACGTCACAGACACCGTACTTTCTCTAAGGGCTTGCTTCTTTACTCTGACTTACACAACACCTCAAAACCCCGTCTACTTCATCGTCCCTCTTCTGAACTTTGAACTACAGAATGAATTTGATCCTTGCTACTCCACTGACACTTCGTGTTACTAATGCCACCCAAGTCCAGTTTTTAAAGTAAATAGCTACTTCCTTGACCTATTTGCAATGCTCTTCCTAAGTATTACTTTCACCTGGCATCTTGGGTACATGTTCACTTGACATCCCTCTCCTCCTACCCAAAAGCAACAGAACCAGCTAAGTATGAACATGAAACAGCATCAGTTTAAGAGAATTTAAGTTTCCAGAGTACGAACCTATAAAGGGTCCTTGCACAAAAGGCCTGTGTGAGCCATGTGTGAGGACAACCACCTGTAATCTCAGCACATGAAGCTCAGCCCAGGTTACAAAGCAGGACCATGTCCAAAACCAGAAACACCTTATGTATCTACATGGAGGTGTATCCAGGATGAAAGCCGCATGATCTCATACTGGTAAAAAGACACCAGGTAGCCATAGCTCCCTGGTACCTTCCCCTAAGCCTGGCTCTTTAATACTTCCAAGTGTGCCCCGGGCAGTCCACGACTCTTTCGGTGATCACCTATTTTAGATAATTTGCATATTACTCGATTAAATACCTAAAGCTCCCTAGAGTTTGCCTCATGAAAGCACCCTAAGAATACCAGGTGCCCTCGTATGTATGTACCTTGGTGCTGCTTTGATGATGTTGTCCACACGGAGAATCACCTCTGCTGCTTCAGCTGCACTCAAGAGAACCTGTCGCTTCACTTGGAAACTCTCTGTGATACCCAGTATTGCCATGTCTCCAATGGTACCTTCCTTCATATCTGAAAAAACAGTAAAGTACGACTTAACAAGCAAGGCATGAGAGCATTTCTAATGGCTTTTAGTAAAACTAACCCGTTACTATACCAACTACCCGATTTAGTTTGCAAACCAGTCTATAAAAGCACTCAGAGAAAATCTTTTAAAATCGTAGGGACTAGATCAATGACT